GGCCAACGGCGCTGCCAGCTGCCGAGGAGGGTTTGAGGGCTGGCAAACGGCGCTTTCGAAGCGCCTAAAGGGTGACACGCACCGGCTTTGCCAAAGCAAAGCAGCGGCCAAAGGTCCCTGCCAAAGGCTTTGCTACGCCAAAGGTCCTGGGAAGGGGTTGGGAGCCTGGCCAACGGCGCTGCGAGCTGCCGAGAAGCGTTTGAGGGCTGGCAAACGGCGCTTTCGAAACGCCTAAAGAGTGACATGCACCGGCTTTCGCAAGCAAGGCTGCGCCTTCGCTGCCACCAAGGCCCCGCGGAGCGTTTGAGGCCTGGCAAACGGCGCTTTCAAAACGCCTTAAAGAGTGACATGCACCGGCTTTGGCAGGCAAGGCTGCGGTGCAGGCATGCGGCCACAATGAATGACATGACATGCACGGGCTTTGCTGGGCAAGGCTGCGGTGCAGGCATGCGGCCACAATGAGTGACATGACATGCACGGGCTTTGCTGGGCAAGGCTGCGGTGCAGGCATGCGGCCAAAGTCATTGGTGATGGCTTCTCGCTGCGCTGTCCCAGGCGCCGCCCCGCTTAGGCCAAGGCTAAGCAGGAGTCGGCGGATATTATACATATGGCAATGCATGTAAATGCATTGATCAGCAGCTCCCCATATGGCCTTGCCTCACTTTGCCTCCCGAGGCAAACGCGAAAAGCGTGATGGGTGCGCGACCTTGGCTTGACTGGGGGTGGGCTTGAGGATGTTTTGCACTTCACTTCTGCCAAAAGATATCATCTTCGGCTTCAGCATTTCCTCAAGTAGAAGTGCTTCGCAAGAGCTTGTCATGAGGTAACAGCCCCTTGTTGCTGAGTGTGATGAATGCCCAGGACGCACCCAGTGAAGGCCAATCATTGCAGACCCATCACCCATCGCGCCAACTCACATTTATATAAATGACAGCGAATTGTCAGTCACAGAAGATGGCTGGACCTTGAGACTTCATTTCGCCTCACAGCTCTCCAATTTTGTTGCCGCTTTGGCACTTTGTACTCTACCATTGAAGTACGCTTTATTGACTTTATTCCACCACGCATGCAAAGTTCCCTTTAGTGCTCGAATGGCACTGCATGCAGAAGCGCCCCGTGGATCATTCCCTATCGGATCCCGAATGCAAACTTGAGCCTTTTGTGCACGCGACAGGCATTTGCTAATTTTTATTCAAACCCTGAACTTTTCTCAGAGTTTCACACAGATGTGTGGGGAAAGAATAGGATGTGCACCTGCGTTTCATAGATTGAACGCTGCAGGAGACAGTAGCTAGATACTTGCTGAACATCCAAGCAGATTGCAATGTCAAGAACCAGGCCCGACTGGGGTGTCTAGGTCTTGGCTTTAGTGCTTGCTAGAGACGCTACTGTAAATCATGGATTTCTGCTGCAATACAACTTATCTTGCTCATGCTGAATTGAGCAGGATGGTGTCTCGGTGTTGGACTTAGTTAGGACACGATCCGGACAAATGTTCATCTCCATTCTTGGTCACTGTGTTGAGAAGACTCATCAGGTATTTGCTCACAAAGAATAGAGCATGCTGCAGTATGCTCTTGTTCTTCACGTCCAAGGCCCTGGATGCCGCGGCAAGATTGAAACTTGGACCAGTGTTGGCCTCAGAGATTCGATGCTCAGCTTGGGAAGTTGGACATGATACACATAGAGCATCTACAGAGCCTTATTAAGTGCAACTTTCGCTGATGTGCTTTGATCTCACCAACTATCCTTTGTCTCTCATGCAATTTGGCATGTCCAACCGGCTTGCAGCTCAAAAGCCTTCTGGATGTCCTGACGAGGAAAAGTCAGGACAGTTGTTGTTGTTGTTGCAGTGTTTTTTGTCCATATTGTTTTTGATTTAAAGTCAAACAACATATATATATATATAATTAACATATATATATATATATTATGATTATATATATAATCAAATACAGTCATGTTATCATTCTGCAGGAACGTGGAGGAGAAGATGATGATGACCTTCTCTCCGTCGACAACGGTGCTTTCTAGCTTGGCACAAGGTCAAAAGTTCAGCAGCCTGTACATAGTTTTCAAGAATTCTCGATTCATGGCTCCTCTAAGATGAGAGGGCAACATTTCAACTGAAATGCCAATGCATGAAGAAGTGCAGGGGCAGTAGGCAAAAATGGTCAGTTCTAGCAACATGCTTGCTGATGAGTCTTTACCAATCTATCAAACAGGTTCCGAATGCTAGCTAGCGTAGTAAGCGAGATTCTGTCCTCCATTGCTTTGGAATGATGTCTCCTGCATTAGCTCCAGCTATTCCTGGCCAGTTCTCCCGATGGGCGGCCGTGCATTGGAGCGCTGGCATCCTTCTAGTAAGCTCCAGATGGCGAAGGTCCTGAGACGTTCGATCGACGTGGTCCTGCCATAAGACCACCTTTTTATGTTAGCAAGACAGACCCATGAGACCACCTCTCCCCCTGTGCCCGTGCCCCCCCTGGACCATTTTGGGCCGTTTTGGGCCCTTGAGGCCCAACACGCCTGTGAAACTTGAGCAGGTCGCTTGCACCAATCCATCTTTCGAGGTCCAGGACCGGGTTGGTTGCACCGAGCTCAGACATGTTCAACATACATGTTGTCCCTTAGTGGAAGAACCGCTTGAGCTGATCTTCGTTTTGCTGAGGCAAGTCGAGCGCACTCTTCAAAGCCAGCAGTGAATCTCAGTTGTCAGAATCTAGTGCTATGTGATGCCCTGTGCACTCGCCTTACTCTGCCTTCGATCGCCTTCGAGGTTGGGCTTCACTTTTTCTCGGATAGCAACTTCAAACCTTTGCGAGACCAGTTCGTGAGCCCGGGGCTTCCAGACTGTCTAACGCTGTCATAGAACTGTACACAATTGGAATGAACACAGTCTTCTCATGCCTTCTCCATATTCAGATTCTGTGGTGGACAAGGACATCAAGCTGAACGAGACCATAGTTGAGGACCCCAAACAAGACAGCTTGGCCAGCGCGTGACACGCCACTTTGCGGGACGTGCTGGATGTTAGAGAGAATATGAGAGAATGAAGTTGAACATTTTGGAGAACATACTTGTCCTGCCATCATTAGCTTTGGATGGACGCTTAGAGGACCTCAACGTAATCAAACAGCGCACTGCCGGTGGAGCCGATGGCTTTGTAAACACCAAGAGTCAAGAAAAGTGTACCATCTTGACACTTAAAATGAGTTGTGAAATACATGCACTGCATTATAAGTATACTATACTATATAGTGATTGTAATGTAACGGTATTCAAGTTCAGCATTATTCTCCGAGGTCCCCGTCTACCAATTCAAAACGACTCGTAGTTGCACTGGACCCAATGTGCAGTTGTCACGGTTGTGATGCTTTGATGAACGCTGAGGAAATTGCTTATGGATGCGTTGGAAGATGCAGAATCTGAGGACCCTCATCTGCATGATCTTGCTCTAGAAACGATGTTTTTGAGAGCACGAAACAGAGAATGAAATTAGATACACATAGTCACATAGTGCCAATCCAAGAGCGGAAGCTAGCACTGGGAGCTGACAAGGAAGTAATGCTGATCTCAGATGTGGACATCCAGTTCCTTGGAGAGGTGCGTATGTTTGTGCAATGACAGGCTCATGTGTCAGTCCCCCAGTCGGGAGCTATCCTCGTTTGTCATTTGTTTGCAGGTGATGCCATTTGTCCAACAGGGTATTGCTGGAAGAGACATGTGCTTCCAGAGAGAGTTCACCAAACTTGGCTTGGAGCTTGGGCCAAGATTTCACGAATGAACTGGAACGGCCAGCACAGGGTGTTCTTTGGCACAGCTTTTTTGGCGGTCAAGAGAAGCTTGTTGAAGGAAAAAGCAGTGCACCGATGGGTGGAATCACCCGTAGCTGCTCGCCTCGCATCCTTCCAGTCAGGTGTGAACATCGGGTTTGTGGCCATACGCCGAACTCCTGCTGCCATTGATTTCTGGCGGCTTCAGCACGATTGGAGAAAATATTGAGAGTAAAGAAGCCTATGTCAGCCTATGTCATGTTGGACTCCTGGATGGGTGCAAAGAAGCTACGTGAGTCAGCCAGGCACCATGTTTGGAAGGAACTTCCAAGTGGACGTGCGAGGCCCATTGTAAATCTTCGAGTCTCAGTTTCTTTGAATAAGGGACTTAGGAACTACTCCTGCCACTCTTTGAGGCCATGACCAGCGCATTGTCTCGGACCCGTGTTGCAGAAGTGCAGATTGCTTTAATCACCCTTGGGCTCATTGGATTCATGAGGTGAACAACCTGCTGTACACCAACAAGGTTCCCAATTTGCAGAAGCCCCATTCGGTCAGGTTGAGAGGTAATTAGAAGTCTTTCCATGCTTCCCCATCTTCCTTCAGGCGGTGGGGGTGCTTCCCACCAGAAATTTGGGCTTCCTCTCAGGCTTGCGGTTTTGGTACAGAAAGATAGACTGGACTGATGGACTTGGCAGGCCTTTGACGGGCTCACCATCCCCAAGGAGATCGCTCTACACCATGCCAACTGGATAGCTGGGCTCTCAGATGTCCAAATGATTGGTCGTTCTCATGATAGCTGGGTTCAGAATGGACTCATAGATGTGCAAATATCAAGAGAGAGAGAGAGAGAGTGATTAAGTTCATTCCCACGAGATGTCGCACATCTGGCTGAGATCCGAGACTACAGCGGTGATGGAGGTCCTCGCAGGTCTTTTGGACGAATTGCTTTTGCATGTTATGCCTGCGAGGGGCTGATGCTTCAAACCCGTGGCGGACTCATACGAGATGGGATTGCAGGAGGTATGTTGATTAAATGATATTGCAAACGAAGCAATTCGACATTGGCAGAATTCAATCATGGATTGCATGGATGCCGAGAACAGCCAAGCTGCAGCAGCTCAGCGAACTTCGCAGAGCAGTGCAGGAACTGACAACGAGTGTTGTGTTTGCACTTGTCATCTCTGGTCACGGCAAGAAGGATGATGTCAAGAAAAATGCTCAAAAGAAGGACCATCAAGAACTAAATCCCAACATTTGGGTTATGGCTAGGTCTGCACGTGTCTAGTCAAGGACAATCAACCATTGGAGAATTGCGCTGGGAGGAAGAGTCAGACATCAAGCAGGAAGAAATAGCACAGCGGATTCGGGAAGATCCTGTCTGTTGCTTAGCAAAAGTCTATACAAAGGACACTAATTGCGAAGGGTATAAAGGAGAATACTCTAAAACGTTAATCCATGTGCGTTGATTGAGAACGGAGGATCTGGCCATCTACCACCAGAGGATGCCTTTTGACAAGGGATTGTTGGGAGATTTGTCTATCCAATAATCTGGCTCCAGGACCTTTGGAAGGGAAAGATATGGGCCGGAATGGATTGTGATGGCCTTACTTTCAAATTGGATTCAATTGATATTGGTTCAATGGATAATTTCTCAATGGGAGAAAGGCACTTCATCCTGAACATCCTGCCCGACCTGGGGGAAACAGGAAGAAAAGGAATTGAATAGGACATGCCGTGTGCAGAAAACTTATGAAATAAATCTTAAATATATATAATATATATTTATATATTGGACCCGCTGTGCGGGTATCGATTTTCTACCTAAAAACGAACAATAATTACGAAAACAAATTTTTAAAACAAATTCAACCAAAACGAATTCTATTAAATTATTATCGAAAAGAATCGATTAAACTAAATTTGTAATTTTAAAATTTTGATTTTTGAATTGAATTATTGTTAAACAATAAGCAATTTTATTTAAAGGGAATATATAATATATAGTATTTATTTTATTGATAAAAAAAAAAAGAATATCTTAATTTTTTAATTTAGATATCGATTATAATTCTTTATTTGTATTGTAGATATTAAATTTAATCGAATTTTATAGGTCGGTTAATATGGATTCGAGATTATAATTATTGATTGTTATTTTATTGTTATTTATAATATATGAATTTTTTGTTATATTTTTATGTATATATTTTATATATTTAATTTATATATTTTTATATAAAAATTAATGTTATTGGATTTAATAGGAGGAAATATATATATATATGCATTAAATTATTTGAATATACATAGATATTTATAATTTTATTATAGATTTTTAATTATGAATTTATTATGATATTATTTTATTAAGGATTTATTTATTATTTTATATTATTGTTTTAATTTTCGATTATTATTAGATTTTTTATTTTAAAATATATTATTCTATTTATCTTTATCTTTTTAATATATAATTTTTAAAAAATTATATTTTATTTTTTCGTTTTATAAAATTTTCTTTAATTTTTTATATTTCGTTATTAATATTATATGATATTTGATTAAATTGATTTATTTATATATGATTTCTAAATAATTAAATTAATCTTTATATTTATTCTTAAAGATAAATTTATTAATATTATATACATGAATATAAATGGAAATAAATATATATTTTTTTTTTCTATATAATATATGAAATTTAAAGCGCCATTTCAGCCTCAAGTTACGGCAGCCATTTCTTTGTAGATCTTCCCGCCATTTTCATTGCCTTGTGCACTGGATCTCTTGGCCGTTATTCCGTTGATGATTGTTTTCATTTGGCTGTACATCTTTCTATTGGGACCGAGGCTGATTTCCCTGGTCCCAAGTCCAGGGCCCATGGATGCCAATGCACCGCCTTTTATACCGAGCGGAACCATGGGTGGCGTGAGGGTTGTCCGGGACTCTTCACTCCCGGATGAAAGTGGAGATGGATCCTTCACTCGAAACCAGAGCTTCTCCACGAAGCCTTCTGAGGTCTGGGCCAAAGGAGGCTACGGCCTTGTCGTATCCCGGCCGCGCATCGTTCAGATTAAGAGGACTTTCAAGAGAGCCTGCTTCCGAGCACTGGAACATGGCTACACGCCTTATCGAAAAGGTTTTCTTTTTGACACCGATGTACCCTGGCGCATTCGAGAAGCCTATCGACGGCACACACAAGATAAGCTGAAGTCACGGATCCCACAAACAACACCTGGCATACGGTGCATGACCTGGAATGCCTCGAAGAACTTGGTCCATGACGAGCTCCTGCACTGGGGTACATCCCAGCCCCTGGACATCATAGCCTTGCAGGAAATTGGCTGGAATTTTAACTCCACCTGGACGTCCCAGGGATGGCATTGCATCCACTCATCGACGAAGCACGCTGCCATACTTGTGCTCATTAGGAGCACCCTGGCCCGACCTGAACAGATAGCCTCGGCCTCTCATTTTGATGGCCGACTTCTTCAGATCCGCCTCTTTTTGGACAGCACATACGACTTCATCGTAGTATATCAGCATGCCTGGAATGTAACCAAAGGCAAGGAACAGCTTCTTGATCATCGTGCCAAGATTTGGACCAGCTTGCAGCAGATTTTGAATCATATTCCGCAGCAGCATCAGATGGTCCTTATGGATGATTTTAACACCACCCTCCAGTTCGACCCGCCACACATCAATAGCCATGATGCCCGTGCGTCCTTGACCACTCACACCGATCGAGATCATCTTCAGCAATTGGTGAAAGCACAGGACCTGATTGCATTGCATTGTAAACAGCAGTATGCATCGACCTTTGAACATGGCTCCCATCACTCTCGCATTGATTATGTTTTTGTTCGTCAACATCAGGTCCAATTTCGTCGCATGCAGCCCACCATGGATAGGAATTTTATGCGCAATTTTGGATGTCATGGCCCTCATCATCATCCACTGTTCTTTATCCTGCCCAGGTGGTTCGCGCCTCGGAAACCAGTGCTCCCTCTTAACACCATTGACAGATTTGCTATCCGTACGGCTAGACTCGAAAACACTGCACACTGGCAGCAATTTGAGGCCCAGATTCGTCAGAGCATCGCTCGACACTCTACACCTCATCCATCGCATCAGGTATCCATGCACGATTTGGAACAAGAACTTCGAACGATTTGTTCTAGTTTCTTTCCCAAAAGAAAATCCCGGGTCCCTCATGCACCCCAGATTTCCTCCATGGCCGCCAGGATGTGGAATGCCCGCAAGCAGGCTCTGGCCGTTCGTGGTCGCAGTATTCGCGATCTCTTTGAGTGTTGGGTTCATATCACCACCTTTCGAACCATCCATAAAGCCATACGTAAACAGAGCAGGCAAAACAAGAGAGACAAATTACAACAGATTCTCACTGAGGGTGCTGATCTTGCCCTTCATGGACGCATCTTTGATTGGTACCGGAAGATCAGGCTCCTGTGTCCGAAACAAAGACCGAAAAGAATTCAGCTCTTTGATACTCATGGCATGCCTCTTGCACCGAGACAGGAATTGGAATCCATCGAACACTACTATACACAACTGTTTGCTGATCCGAAGTTTGACGCCCGGGATCTCGAACCTCTCACCCGACTTCCCTTCGACCGCCAGGATGTGCTTACTGAGCTTTTGCACCTGCCAAGCACTAAAGCCCTGGCACCGAATGGTTTGCCAGCACTGATCTGGAAGCATTTTGCGCATGATCTTGTTGATCCTTTAATGCGTCAGATTAAGCAGGTTTGGCTTCAATACCCCGTAAACCTTCCGGATCATTGGACAACAGGATGGATACATCTCCTCACTAAACCGAATAAATCCCCACGCAAACCCCAAGCTCTCAGACCTATCTGTCTGCAACACCCAGTCAACAAGATTCTTGCAGGAATTCAATGCAGACAGATCATTCTGCAGACGTTCGACAGACTTAGACGTCTTCCACTCTATGCGTATTTGCCTCACAGAGGGACACGTGAATGTCTACTCATAGTGGCCGAACATTGCAGAAACGTACGCATGATGTGTAGGACTGTCAAAACCGGAACTCAGCCACGGCTGCTTGGAGGACTCCAAGTCTCCTTAGATATGGAAAAGGCATTTGACACAGTCAGCCGCACCCTGGTGCTTCGTGCCTTGCAGCTGTACCGCTTGGATCCTGACCTTTTTCAACTTGTGCACACTTGGCTCACCCCCCATAGGTATTGTATTCCATTCAAGCAGTTGATTGGCCAAATACATGCACATAGGGGAATCAAACAGGGGGCCAAAGACGCCCCTTTGCTCTGGACCCTCACCATGAGCCTTGTACTTGTTGATCTCCAAAACAAATATTCCCATCAATGGCTCCACGAGCACATGGTCGTTTACGCTGATGACATCCACCTCCGGTGGATAATTCGATCCACAGCCCAAGCCCTTGAAGCTCTCACTGACCTTCAACATGTTTTAATGACTCTTCAAGCCTTTGGCTTCAACGTCAATCTTCACAAGTCGGTGGCCATGCTTCGTCTCCAAGGGAAAGAGGCTCCTGCCTTTCTTCGCACCTGGGTTAGTAGACCTTCCACTGGCCCTGTCCTGAAGCTGCCTGAACGAAGATGGCAGCTACCGCTTGTGTCGAAAACAGCGTACCTCGGAGTCATCATAGGTTATAGAGCATGGGATGCTGACACGACAGCACGTAGGATCACAGCAGCCAAATGGTGCTTCCGCAATCTCAGGTCCTGGCTTGTGAGTGATGTTCACCCCATTCGAACTAGACTCAAGTTATACAAGCAATGTGTTCTAGCCACGGTTCAATATGGCATTCATGAAATGGGATTGACTCAGCAGGGATTCAGACAGGTCATCAGCATGATCAACACACATCACCGGTCAATTGCCCACTCACCAGTGTATCTCACACATGAATCCACGACACATTTCTTTGAACGCCTTCGTGAACCACCACCATGGACAACTATCCTCACCCAACGAAGGCGGATCCAAGACGCCCTGTCGGCTAAACGGGCCAAATTCCGTCTTGAAGCCATGGACAATGAGATGCCGGACGTGTGCGTGTTCGTCCCAGATCTCTGGGTTGAACCTTTGGTCAATCCCCCGGATCATCCCTCCCCCATGGAACGCACTCAGGCAGTGGCCTGTCCTGAATGCCATCGAACCTTCACGCAGGCAGGAACGCTGAAACGTCACATGAGGCAGGTACACCAGGTCCCTTGCGAGCCTGACGACGTTTTTCTGCCTTTACGAGACGCCTGGCAAGGACGTTCGATATGCACGCATTGTTCACACGTCTTCGTTGATTTTTACAGACTTCGTGACCATATCAATAAGCATACGTGTCCTCGTTTTGATCCTGCGCAGGAGTCGATCGTGCCGATCATCAACCGACCCGATCTCAAAATGCATTTGCGACACAAGTCAATCCCAGGTCTGTTGTTGAACTCAGCCTTGATCAATGAGATTGCCAATCACTGCACTTTTTGTCACATGCGGATTGCTGCTCGATCGATTCGCAAGCATTTCACGGAATGCCATCCGGACCTGGTTCATCTTGCCGACCACTTTCGTGATCATGTTCAAGGCATGGCCAACATAGGAGGAGGCCGTGGCAGATGCAGCTTTTGTGACAGTGAATGCCGCGACACCAGAACGCATGAATGTGGGGTCCTTTTTCAGATCTCGCTTATGATGGGACA